CACACACACCCACTCTCCCCCAACCCCAATTAGAGATGGAAGGCTTGCTGGTAATTATTAAAAAGAAAACGGGAGGTGGGAAAATTGAGCCTCGTTTATATTTTACTTCCTGAAAGTCAAGGTGATGCTAGCACAAATACTAGAGGGAACGTTCCCCTTCTTCGGGATTTAGGAAGTGGTGCTGCAAACTTAGAGATAAGGGAAGAGATATGCAGGGTTAATGAGGACCAGCTTTACCTCTCAAGTGCCCAGAAACGGCTTTAATAATCAGGGCTGGGTTCTTTGAGGCTTCCCTCCCTTAACTTAGACCATTCCCTCCCACACAGAAATACAGACTTCTCCTTTTACCGTCTGGTTGGTGATTGGATAGGGGACGGAACTTCCAGTAAATCTTACTGTAGAAAATTTTTGATTTATCCAGAATATCGGGTTTTCTCATGTTTTTATTAAGAAGGAAACAGGTTTTTGAATAAAGAATATCATTAATGGTTAATTAGCTCTGAATTTTTGCTTTTGACATACTGCAGTATTTTAATGCTAGGAATGGAAACATCTACCTATCTAATTACAATGATATCTTCCCTCATCATTGTAAATCAAAAATCTAATTCTTCTTTGTGATATTTATGAGTGTGTCTTTTTTTTTTTTTTCAGTATTGGGAAATTACCCTGATGAAAGTGGTTACTGTGTATTAAGATGCCCGTCTCTTTGTATTTCACAAACTTTTCTCTCCTGTACTTGCTAGCCACCCAAAGGGGGACACAGTTTTCTATGTGGGTTTCCACAGAAAGGGTTTAATTCTGAAGCCTTATTATAATGGTCCCTAGTGAGGTGTCAGATCTACAATTGGTTAGTTACATTAACAAATATCAGCTTTACTGGTTCCCAGGTCATCTTTAAACATCCTCTGTAATGCAGTAGGGATTTCCCTCTAAATTAAATTACCTGCAACAATTACAAGTGTTGTATTTTATGCTTACTGAACTTTTAATGTTAGATACACAGTTGTGTACTAAAAATTCAGTGAAAGAGGAAAATGAGAGTTATTTAGCTAGATTAACTTTTGAAGAAGATTTTCTCAGAATATTTATATAACAATTTGGATAGTTCTATGTAAGCGAGGCAGGAAAGGGATTCTAGAGATGGAAAAATTTATGGCTGTTATACCACAACATTTAATTCATATTGTAAGACTGCGTAATTCTGGGAAATTCAGAATCCCTGTGGCAGTATTCCCAATGAACTTTAATATTTAATGGGTTGTGAAACAGAAAGCAGCCTCAGTTTTGAATATAGAATAACTTAAAGCTCAATTTTGTTAGAGCTGCAAATACTGGATTTAAATGAGACATTGTCTAAGATTGTTCTCTAAATTTGAGATTCTGTCACTGCTGCTTAGGGGGGACGTAAACTGCCACACATTTAGTTAGCTGTATTTTCCCATATGAGTGTTCACTAAAGAAAGCAAGAGAGTTAGCTGAGTAGCAGTGTGCTGGAGAGAGGAAACAATGGACGAATAACTATTTGCAGAGAAGTTCCCAGTGGACTTGTGATAAAAGCAGGAAATGCAGAGTTTATTAAGCTGATGTGGGGAAGATTAGAGGCTTTCAAATATGGGTCTGATTGATGTAAACGTAAACTTTCCTGAAAATACTGGGATTCAGTGCAATAATGACGATCGTGTGACCAATTACAGACCAGCACCTTGTTGATGGAGACTGAGCATGGAAGATGCAGATAAACAGAGCTAGACTGAGAGTAGGAATGGGAGCAAGAAAGAGTAGAAGGAAATGCTCCACTGGGATGCAGATGCGGAGTTAGGTGGGGAGCGGCTCAGTCTGTGAAGCACGTTTGGGTCCCCAGCAGCAATCCTGCCAGAGAGGTGGCAGTGCTAGGCGAGTCCAGCCTTCGGCCACGGTACCTCCTGGTCACGGAGGTCAGCAGCTGGCGGGAGAGTGGATCAAGGAGTGAGCGCGGGAGCCCAGTGCGAACCAGGATGTTTAATTAAGGTGTGCTTTGTGTACAGAAGACAGGAGACCCCAGTGTTAGGACGTGAGGGTGGGGTGGGTAGGGAGGGGCCGGGGGAGGGAAGTAGAAGAATAGGGGTGGTGAGAAGTAATTTCTTCCCGGATGATCTAGACCCAAGACTTCCGGGAGTGTGGCAAAGAGCCCTGGATGGAATGACCTAGGTGGTTTTACCAGCTGCGCTGGTGAAGGAAGGAAGGGGCGTTAGGGGAGGCCGGGGTCCAGTTCTAAACTCAACGGGGACCAGGGCCAGGGTTCGAGGTCACAGAGCCCCCGACTGCCAGTGTCTGGAGGGCTCGAGCGACTCCGACATCCTGTCCGGGGTGACGGGCCCAGCAGAGCTCCCGGGGAAGCGAACTGCTGCCCGGAGCAGGAAATTCGGTTGCGCAATGGAGTTGGGCGCTCAAAGTCTCTGCTTTGGGGCCTCGGGCAGCTTCTTCCTATTTGACTCCAATTCTGGGCTCTAAAGCCCGGGCGAAATGGTTGCTTTTGCCCGCCGTGTCCAGTCGCACCGTCGGCTGCACGGGCTGGACCCAGCGGGGGTCTTTCGCCTCGGCCCGGCGTGCCCCTCCTGTGGCGCCTGAGCCGCGGGAGCCCCGGGAGGCGGCCGCCGCCCCGTTCTGCCGCTGCGTCCCCGCACGTTGGGACGAGATGTGCCCGCGCTCACCTGGGCGTCGCGACCCCCCGGTCCTGGGAGGGTCTGGAAGTCGTAGAACCCAGGAGAGCTGGAGCGCGCGTCAGAGGACCTGAGAGCCGGGACCGCGGCGGGCTCCCGGGGTGGGGGCGCCCGGCGGCTCTCAGTCCCCTCCTCCCCGGGACGAGTGGGGGCAGCGCGACCGTTCCACTAAACGTTTACTGTCCAATTCTGGTACGGTTTCTGGGAGTTAATCACAGCTGTCTCAGTTATTTACGGCTTTTTGGCAAGTTTCCGACCAGATAAGAAGCCTATTCTTTTGTGAAGCGTTTCTCGGGAAATTTCATAAACATTTGACGAGTCCCTTAGCTGCGCGGCCGCCGCAGCCGGGACGCCTNCCCCGCGCCCCCCAGGCGGCTTGGCCCGGGCTCGGGTGGGGAAGAGGAAGGGAAGAACCCCAGGCACACTCAAAACGCCCCAAAGCGCATGATTGCCGGGAAAAAGTAGAAACGAGACTTTCCTTGAAAAGGTCTTAAATTATCATTCGACGAAGGACAGAGTGTGTGGGCCTTTGCCGAACGAACGTAAGTTATTGTTATTTATTGTGACACAGCCAGTTCATAGTGGGACGAATATTTTGATCTTAATAAAAAATAATAACAACCCGGTGCGATGCGGCTCCTGTGTGCTGTTGGCGCAGCGGGAAGGCCGGACGCACGCGGGCCCAAGGGCCGGGCTGGTTTCCACGAAACCAGAAGTGCCCAGAAACCTCGTGCGCGGCCGCCCCGCGTGCTCCCGGGCGGGCCCGGCGGGGATTGGGCGGCGGCGGCGGCGGGGCG